ATCGTTGGTACGGTCTGTCGCGGATAACACTGTGCGGCGTTGGGCCAACAAGTGTCCATGACTCGGTGCCGAGATGGCTGAGTCTGAGTATGCGTACATGCCATGCCGCAACTCTGAATGCAGGACAAGCTATACGCTGTCATGGGTGCCATAGCCCGCAGACGTGGGTAACATAGTAACACGTCAAGTCACGCAGACTCAAACTGCATCCAGGCTGGTGGATGCCAAGCCCTGGTCGACGATGTTGACCCAGAGCCAAGGAAGGGTAGCTGCCCGTGCCACCGGAGTCTGCTGGCACAGTGACTCGGTGCTGCAGGGCGGCGCGAGGTTAGACGGCCGGCTGCCGCCTGACACGCCGGGTCTCAAATCGTAAGTGGGGGAGGGGATCGGAAGTGCCCTTCCTCCCGAGGTCTCTGGCATGAGACTAGCTTCGTCGTAGAAGCCAGTGTAGTGGCTGCATGGTGCAGCCACTCACGAAGTATTGCACGAAGGTGCTGGACCTGATGCATCGCTGCTCAGGTCCATGGTCACGGTGACCGATGACGAGCAACCTTGGCAGTGGCTACTGTCGCTGCTGGACCGAAGATGGCGCGCGCATCCGCAGCTGGAAGGCTGCCTCTGTCAGGCAAGGACATGGCAGCCAGTCTGCGGCTTGGTCCGCGGACGATGACATGTGTACATACGCAGCACCATGCCGCAGCGTGATGCTGTTGCTACACTGGACGCGGTACGTCTGCCGGCCAGGTAGCCATCAGTTCCGACCATGGGTGTTGCCCACGAGGGGAGAACCCGAACGTGTTGCCTTTGCGGGCATTCACAGTTGGCGCGGAATATGCCGCACCTGTAAGGCGCGAAGCCATACGTGTGCACGTGGCACATACTACCTGTGAGATAGTCGCGGTGCGTGACGCTCACTGTGCGCGTGGCGCTTGGTGCACGCGACACTTCTTGTGCACGTGGCACTTGAGGTGCACGAGGCACTTATGGCAGTCGTGGTACGTGTCATACACGACATGCCTTTGGTGTATGAGGCGGTGCCCTCGTACCCCTTGAGGTCCTGTATGGACTGTGTGCCTTGCGGTCTTGCGCGCACACCGACCTGGTGTTGGTCGCCGCGACGCAGGATGCGATCGCCGGTGACGGAGGGCAATACACCCCACACCACGATGAAGTACCCTTGCGGTACCCTGGTGTCGATGGAAGACACCTTAGCGTCGGCGACGTGATGGCTGTGACGCGCTGCAGGGCTTTAGACAAGTCCGCCGCGTTGATCTGTATGATGAGCGGGTTGCTTGAAGCAGCCATGGTCGCTCAAGTAAACACGACGTTGAAGCATGACGCTTCATGGCTGTGGTCAGCGCTTGACTATAGCCCATGGGTCGAGCCGACGTATTCGGCCGACCGGCACACCGTGCTGTGACGAGCGGGGCCCTGTCGGGCCGCTGTCACGGCCGGAGATGAGTAGCACAGCTCTCTCCATGGTTACGCTACGCGCTGACCGGAAAGGTGCTGTCCCTCGCGGGGGGCACTGCAGCACGAACGTGCCAGCGGGGCCCGAGGGTCATGCGACGCCAAGAGCTGGTTGTCTACGAGGGACACCGCATGTTTGGAGGCACATGCATCCCGTGCCGAGGCACTCTGCGCCTGCTAGCGCTGTGGATACGGTCACTAAAGGCGTCGGCTTTGCGGCCAACGTCGCCGAGGGCAGGGGAATGCCGCGCGGGGTGCCCGCTGCGGGCACAAGTCGCTGTGGGTGTGACAGTGAGGCGCGCCAGCTTTGCGGCGGCGGTGCCCGAGAATCCGACCTTTGGGTGTTCGGATTCTCTCGAAGTTGATTGGAGAATCAGATGTGATTCTCAGATAAGTGGAGGAGGATGTAACGGGGACCCCGTTACAGGGTACAATCAAGTGTACCCATTACATGAAGAGTGACGGGTGTCACTCTCCCGAGTACATGGTACATGGTACCAGTAGCTCAGCAAGCCAACCATTTGAGTTTGTGTGGGCTTTTGTATAGTTAACTTGTAGTTTGTATTAAGACTAAGTTAACCTCTACCAAAACACAGTCAGTCTTATAACCTACTCCTTTGTAGCAAACCGTTCCCTTTGAGGCCGGGAACTGGTGAACTGCTGTTCACCTGGATAGTAATATCCACACGCACTTCCTCTGTGCATTGTGCTGTGTGACCCCGTCACACGTCCTATGTGATGGCCACGAACCCTACGTTCGGGTGCCGCACGCGCCACATCGAATTGAAGTGGCACTACGTGCGCGAGCAAGTGCGCAAGAAGGAGCTGTACATGCTGAAGGTGCGATCCGAGGACAACCCCGCGGACCTCTTCACGAAGCCTCTGGCGAAGGTCAGATTCGAGAGATTGGCATGTGCACGCGGAAGGAGCAAGGCTAGCTAAGTTTGGTTTGTCGGCCATGAAGCTGCAAGCTACAAGGTAACGGCAAAGGGAGGGCTGTTGGAAAACACTGCAAGTTGCTGCTGTTGAAGTTGCAGGGAACTGCTGCTGGAGCAGATACGGGGCGAGGCAGTTGAGGTAGTGTAGACTAACGGTCGCCTGCATGTCTAGGAGAGAGGGAGAAGGAGTTTGGCTGAGGTAATTCCCCAGAAGACCTCCAAGTGAACAAGTTGCATTTTGTGTGTCTGTGAGCTTTGTGGTGCCGCATTCCAACAGCCAATAGTGGTGAAACACCAAGTCCTGTGACAGCAACGCAGCGATGTGTGGGGGCTGCGGCCAGCTCGGTCATAATGCACGGGCATGTTCAGGCGTTGTATCAAGTGCCATTGAAGGGTGATTGGAGGTCAAAACGAAGAGTGCTATCAATTATTAGATAGTGCCATCATTTGGTAAATGCCCCTCCCGGTCTCATACCGGTGCAGCAGTGTGCGCACTTCAACATGGTCACCATCGTCTGCGATATGTGTGCACCAATGTCACGTGATTGGTCGAAAATGCTTGTGGTGCCAGAAAGTCGTCACCCTTTTCTTCCTCGAGACAGCTCGCTTCCTGCGGCAATCATTCCAGCACAACCAACCCACCAATCAGCGCGTTTTCCTCGCCTCCAAAATGAAACAGTTCCCTTCTTGTAACCCAAGAACATCATTTGTCTAGATTTATCAAATAGTGCCATCATCTGGCAAAACCCTATTTCTCCGTTGGAGTTACTTCAGCTGCAGCCGATTGTCATTCCCCAAAATCTGTCAGACAATGAACCCATCATCCTGTAAAGAGTCAGACATAGCGTCCGACATTTTCTGAAAAACGAGTTTTTTTTTTCACTGTATAGACGGTGGCAAATCTCGATTCGCCCAGAAAATGTCAGACATAAATACAACCGCAATGGAAATACAGCAACATTGGGGCTATAGTGTTTTACTGGTACTGTTATGGCTCTGGGCTTGGTCCATTAAAATAACTAGGCCCAAAACACAGTCGATGTCTGCTGGCGGACCATTTACCAGAGCTCCGACTGCCGCTTTCGGGTATGACGCGTCAAAACTAGAAAAAACAGTTTGTTGCGCGTTTTGGTGACGCTGCTGCGCGCTCCCGGAAAAACCACGAGCGCACCTTAAGACCACGTTGACTAGGGCTCCTTCCTTGCATGCAAAATTCTAGCTGCGGGAGTCTATGTCACCTGGCTTGCCACGCTCAGCGAAGAGACGCTGGTAGATTTGAGTGACGCCGCTATTGACACGCTCAGTGTGGCCTATTCAATCTGTTTGAACGTCGGGTGGACGACGAGCAAGACGTTAGCGACGAAGGGCCCAGGGAACCAGCTAGTTAAGGGTGCGCGTAAATGGTTCCAGCGAGCTCTATAGTTTATACAGAGGTTTGCGCGATGGTTGATCTTATTCATATAGTGTTCATATAGCGGTAATTCCTCGCGTAGCTGAGGACTTCGAACTTCCCGATCACCTCGTCATGTCTGGGGTGGGGCAATAAAGACGAACAGGGAACAGCTAACCGCCCCTTTATGGACGCAATATGCATGCATCTTACAAAACAATGAAGTAAACTTCGGTATCAATTGGTGTACCTTGAGAACGACGCTGCCCTAAAACTCCGCTGAACTACAGTGTTGCAGTGGACCGATAGAGTGCATACATCACGCAACCGACATTGCGGCCGCTTGAGGCTGGTCAGGTGTAGGCAGGCTGCTGCGAGAAACTTGCTGCAGAAGAGGCACAAATCATTAGATTGGTGCGAGCTATTATTCGTCACAAACAGATGAAGCCTACTTACGATAAGTATATGTAGCTGCCGCTTGGTCCTCGTTCGCGGGCATTAAGCCTTCTAATCACCGAGGGTTTCTCTAAATTTATATCATGATTTGCTATGTCTGCCGATTGTCCGACAATTTCCGTCTAAGAATCATTATATATTTTCACGTCGACAATTACTCGATGTTTTTGTTTCATTTCTGAACTGACCCACAGTAACGCCATTTTTTTTCTTATGCCTGTTCGTTGGGTACTTGCCTCATCAGCTTAGCCGTAGTTAGTTTTCAATGTAAACCATATTTTTCTAGTTTCGACACGAACGCACGAGTTCTCTGACAACGACAATATCCGTAACGCAAAAGGCCGGCAGACAAAGCCACGCAGGTTCGAACAGTAGACTTCGTCTCATACGCTTTTGTGTACTTTGTCATTAAGTGAGTTTTAAGGGCGATATATGCTATGTCAAAAGTGTTTTTTTCGAGTTACATTAGAATCGCCAAGTGTTGAACCACGCAGCAGTGTACAATAACACAATTACAATGACGATGATTCTTCTAGCAAGTCTGCTTGACGTCGGCGCCTATATCAGCGACTCAGTAGGAGATGCCCCAGCATGAAGTGTCAGTACGAATACTGGTCCACCACCCAGGCCTCCAATCAGCCATTAGAACGTCAAACGCCGTGTACACTACGCTAAGCAGACCGTTTTGTAAGCAGAGCTTTACTCCACCCAAGATTCAAGACCAAAAACGAGGTTCATCAAGTAATTTATGCCAACTCAAGGGCGTTAAACTCCATTCTATACTGCTCGACGAGGTTGGCTATGTCCCGATTAGGATGAGTAACGAAACCCCTTGCTTCGCGACACCATAGGCATGTCTGCAATATGTCGACTGCGGCTTTGGAGAAAGTCTTTCCACAACAAGCAGCGATGACAGGGGATTCGAACAAGCAGTGTGTGATCGGACATGTTAGCATCTCCTCCCGTTGCTGGAGCACGATCCGGTGGTATTGTCGAGCGTTGTGTGCTTGTTGAGCAAGTTGTTCGCATTGCATGGAGAATGTGTCTTGCTGCTCACATAGTCGCCGGGCAAACTCCTGTTCTTGCTGGTTCAACCGTTGTTCAAGCTCAACGAGTTGCGTTGCAGTCTGGGGACTACTCACACTACGAAGATCGGTGACAGCTCGCGCAAGTTCCTGGATTTGCTGCTGGAGGCTCGACAGCTCGACATCAGCAGCTTGGTTTGTTGAAATTGCCTCCAAACTATTTCCATTGCTTCCAGGATCGTCGCGAGGAATCTGTCTCTGTTCTCAAGAGCTGGATGGTTTTGCTCCTTGAGAAATACCAAGCTTTGCAATGCCTCGTCCAACGGCTTCACTTGCACGCCATCCGGGTATTTTTTCAACAGCTCCGAGAAAACGTCGCCCAATGAATCGACCCAGGCGTGCACCTCAATTTGCCACTGCTGTGCTAGCAGCACCTCGAGCATGCCCGTGTACGCCGCCTTTCCACTGGTATCCAAGCCATTATCACCCATCACGAGAACAAGTGTCTTGGGAGTGTCGGTGTCTGCTGATATGAGTTGAGCAAGAAATCTGTATGAATCTCCGGCGCGTTTAGTCTAGGCTGTTTCTTTGTCGCCCACTGCAGACTCATCAAGGCTTGCACTAATAGGGGGTGCGAACTGTGATACACCGCCATTTGGCGCTTCACCTTCAAAAGATCACCGCCACAGACCCGGAGCGTCAGTTTCCGGAAATCTATTCGCAATTCTCGCGATGACGAAGCTTGGGGGACTTCCCGGTAGAGCGACGTGCTGTTGGATAGCGTATCGGAGATGTTGTCCAGATCCATAATAACGAAGCGCTCGAAATTATCCGCAGGTGGCATCGCTTGAGAGCTCTGTTGTGCATCCTCTTGGTTTGGTGACTCTGCAGAAGCGACCGATGCGGGTCGAAGAAACCCCTTCATCAGTCGGTCCAGGTAAACATTGTGAAATCTGGATGAGAAACCAGCTCGGAGCCTATTCACGGTCTCCATATTGCTGCGCCGCAAACAAAAAAGCTGGACCCGCCAATTCGCAGCAATATACGCTTCCAGAATCTTCACCGTCGATTTCCTCAGTTTCCCCAACGCAAGCACTAAAGTTTTCGTAGGTTTTCCCTCGCACCTACCAGCTTCTGCTAGGTTGCGCTTCAGCATTTCCTCAAGCGTCTGCCGCTTCCTTCTTGTGCTCCATCCAGCTGCAGAAACTAAGCGCTCGTCAACATCATCTGACTCGCGGAAAACGCCTCGTTGACATGCCACGACCGCATCTCGGCCTGAAAGGAGTATGGCCAACTTGGCAAAATCGACCGGAGATGGACAGATCGGGTCGTCAGTGCCGAATACAGCGGGTTGAAGCCGGAGGTGTTCACGCACAGCTGAGTGTAGATCGTCGAAGTCAGCAAATAAGAAGCGCGTTTGCGGCATAACGCACAGAGGGTGGCCGTACAAACCGGGTCGGGCGGTGGGAGGCAAATACAAATGAAGTCTGGCCTGCAAGATGAAAATGGCTTAGTCGTAGCTGCAGCATCGCATCCGTTTCTCGTTATGCTAGTCCCCGTTTTGGCAACGCCCATTTTGGTACCAACAACTAGCGAAACACACATCCCATGTTGCAAGCTGAAGAAAATAATAGGAAATATTTGGGTGGCCAAAGGTTTATTTTGACAACCAAGGATATCTTCGTATCGGTACCTCATTCCGACTTCTTGTTTTCGTCCTTTTTGTCCTTGTTCAGCTCCGCCAACCGCGTCTGCTGGCTAATAGGCTTAGCTGGCTTGTTGAGCGGTTCCACAGGGGCCGAAGGGGCCTCAAGTTGCACATTAGTCGCATCAATAGCAGCGCCTGCGCCACTATCCGGGTCGCGAGCTAAGATCGAAGCCGGCCTGAATGCCTCGATCATCGCTGGTTGCTGGTAAACTCCATCCAAGAAATCGTACGTATCATTCTTGCGCTCTTCGTCAACGTCGCAGCACTGGTCCAGCGGTAGGTTCTCAGCGGCTCGCTTCAAATGGGATAGATCGACAGCGTACCAATGGAAGACAAGCGTGATGAAAGGAAGCATCGTCGTGAGTACGATCGGCCCGTACCCAGCCGATTTCAAGGACAGTAGTCCGATGAGCGTACACTGGGCGATGATGAGGGCGCCAATGACGAACGAGTACAACGGAGGCCAGAATACACCCATGGAGTTGGTCGATGCCCAGCGCGAGCTGTTCACGAAGAAGAAACAGCGCTTATACGAGAGCTCGGACACCGCGAAGAACATTGCGCCAAAGTAGCCCACAAGTGGCGCGATGGGAGCGAACACCACGACAAACAAGAAAACAAGATACTGCTGCGCCAAATTCATAGGAGTATCGAGATCCGTCTGGTAGTTCACGGGGCAGAGGCCCATCCAGTCTCGAGGCTGCGGGAGCTTCACATGCATCGGGGCAAAGAGGTGGTACGCAGCCGAGATCGCGACAGGCGATACGCGCAGCAGAAAGACCGACATGTCGACACAGAATTGCGTGATAATGAAGGTGATGAACATCATTGACTGGTTCGCGATCGTGTTGCCGAGAAAGAAGAAAAGCATGCGCGGCTGATCCAGGAAAACCATGAACTCGGTGATGATGGATCCCGCGAGAGCTGACACGAAGAACATTTGGAAGGCTTGGAAAAAGCACAGCTTTGTGAAGCGGCTGGCTTCCACTTCCGATATCGACAAGTGACCCTCCTGGGTCGATAGCAGTTTGAAAATCACATTTGCCAGGCCGTTCATCGCCGAATAAACCAACGGCGCAGTTTGCTGCAGCACAATGAGAAGCCACGGGTTTTTCTCCAGGAATCCGCCAAGCCACGGGAACAGGTGCTGCAACTCATCGACACTTGCCATGGAAGCAACAAAAGCTGTCGGCACAGTCCAGAAGCACCCGATCAAGAGAGAAACCCCCATTGAGATAAGTTTCCACTTCGCCTTGATCTTGTGGGGAAGCCCAAAGTTTTTCCACTGCACGTCACGGATATTGGGGGCAGGAAGCACAACCATTCGGCGAGGATTCTCCACCTGAAGTAATTGCTGAGCTGCTTGGGCCGACCGGATACTACGAAAGCTCACGAAGGCGCAGCTTCGCATCACATTGGAGCGTTTCGGTACGGGCACACTGACGTGTAGCAACGGCAGGGTCTCTTCGCCCCAGTGCCGGTCATCCATCGAGCTCTTAGTTCTGCGCAGCTTCTCCGCCAAGTCAGTCAGGGCAGAAAACCCACGAGGGGCGGCACTCGTCGAACCGTACTGCTTTTGATTGGTGACTTCCTGGGCTTTCTCGGCCGACTGACGCTGTAGAATCTCGTCCCGAACGCGAACAATCTCGGCTTCGAGTTTTTGCATCTCCTCCGTGTAGTGGTCGACGGCGTCCACCTCCTTGCCGCCGCCACAGAGACCAAAGAAGCGGCGACCAATCAACTCCTTCGGTCGCTTGATGATATCATGGTCACTAGCCTTGGATTTTGCTTCTGACAGCTTGACATTTGCAGCGTACAGGTGGTACACGAGCTCCTGGCGTTTGTCCAGCAACCCTTCTAGTTCTGCACACTCGACGCCGATGTACACCGAGTGGACCGAGTCGGGGAAGAGGAAGTCCAGATACGCCTGCAGCGTCTGCGGACGCCGTTGAGCCTGGGGAAGGTCCGAGATGACAACGCTGTACTGCTGCGGGTGTTTACGCATGAGGAACTCGTGGCGGCGCTTGCGGTACACCGTGTACTCGTTGAGCAGCAGCCGCATGATGTAGACGCTGATAGCGTATGCGACCAGCACGGTGAAGTAGAGTCTCCAGTCGTCCTTGCCCACGTTGGCGATCGTGAGTCTGTCCACGACGTCCAGCTTCACCTTCCCGTCCGAGGACAGGACGTTGGCTGTGCCGTTGCCCGCATCGATCTGCTCGTCCAACATGATCATGACCATGGAGGTGAGAGCAGTGGCGTTGGCCCCTCCCGCTGCACCAGGCAGCAGCTGGCTCAAGTGGTGACGCCGCTTCTCCTGCTCCTGGGCCTCGAACACCGCCGCCGTGAAGAAATACATGGGGAAGAGCGCCAGCGAGCACGTGACGCACAGCAGCGCCACCTTGCGCCCCATCTTCATGAAGCGCAGCAGCACCCAGGCGTCCAGGCCGCACTTCTCAGCCACCTCGGCCTCGTCGATGCGCCAGAGGAAAGGCACCCAGGCCAGGAACTTGCGCTGCTTGGACTCGGGGAAGTCCGCATGGTTTTCGGGCGCGTACACGTGCGGCACGCGCGGCCGCAGCGCCTCGTACAGCAGGATCAGCACGATGAAGAGCGGGAAGTACACGGCCACGCTCGTCAAGAGCACGTTGGCCGCGGCTTGGGTCGTCACCTGCTCCGTCGTCACGTGCATGCCCATGGTCACGAGATCGCTGGATCACTTGAGCGGCGCGCGGAGGCTTGGCGAATGACCAATGAAATTGAGAAGTTCTGCAGGCATGATTTTTTACCCAGAAATCAGGTTTGTCGTATGATTTTCGTATCCATAATAATTTTTTTTTTTTTACCATCACCAGGTGGTCCTCTTGATACGACAACGTCGCCGTCGCCTTCGAGGTGCGCGGACGGATGACCTTGGACACACAGGAATCCGAATGCTCCGCTGTCTGGATCGGGCCAGGGGAGTGTTATTGTTGTCGCGAGTATGAGTGGTGAGCCCAACATGAGGATAAATATCTACACCGGCAACGTTGATGTACGGCAACACCTGGGCGAATCATGGTTAGGAGCGCGGGGGGCACGACACGAAGTGCATCGCAGCCGATTTAACTAGTTTGGTTTGCACCTTGACGAGTTCACTTCCACTTTTCAGCATGACAAAGTTGATACATTCATTAGAGCTTTACACTCGGCACACGGCGGACTATGCCAGCTTCTTCACTTGCCGCGCTGAGTTAGTTGGCAAGAGCCACGTCGCGGATCTTGCACGTCAGCGCGTACGTGTTCACTGCGTCCTGGTACTGGCATCGGATGTCGTCGCCCTCACCGCGAACCGCCTTGAGGAACTCGCGGTCCTCCGTCAGGTACATGTCGTCGCCGGGGAACTCGAGCGTCAGTTCTTCGTCGCTGTCACCCTGCAGCACCTTGAGCGTCGGCGTCTCCGAGTACGGCTTGACCACGCCGATACGCAGGCCGTCCACCATGATCTCGAGCGATGCGTCGTACGCCTCGCCCTGCAGCAGCGCGCCGTGCACCAGGTTGCCGAGCGCGCCGCTCTTGAAGAACCAGTTGGCCACGTGCGCGCGCGGCACTCGGTTCTCCGCCGGGATGGCCGTCTCGTCCACGGGAACCTTCTCCAGGTAGCCGATGTCGCCCGGCGTGAGGCTGGCCTTCACGCTGCGACTGTAGACGGTGTCCATGTCCACCTCGCCCACAAAGTAGCGCGAGATGTCGGCGAAGTGCGTGGCCTGCTCCACGATGGGGCCGCCGCAGTGCTCCGAGTTCCACCAGAACGGGCTCGGGATGCTAGCGTACGTGCAGTTGTAGCGCGCCATGATGCATACGGGCTTCTTGCCCTTCAGCAGCTCCTTGATCTTCTCACCAAACAGCGAGTAGCGGAACATGTAGCCCACGGACACCACGAGCTTCTTCTCCTTGCGGAGAGCTTCCACTTCCGCCGCGTACTTGGTGACCTCGTCCACAGGCGCGTTCGACAGCGGCTTCTCGAGGAACAGGTGCGCTCCTGCGCGGGGGCACTGCAGTTTCAACGGGTACTTGTAGCAGCCGTGAAACGAAGGCCTCGAGAAACGCAATGCCGTCATCGTGGCTGTCGTCAAACCGATCATCGCCCAGCCTTAAAAGAAGTCGATGGGCGACTTGCCAACAAGTGGTTTGTGCGCGCCTTGGCGAACACGGAGGTGTTCGCGGACCTGCAAGATATGGTGGGCACTGCCAAGCCTACGGCCGTGTTCGTCAGTGTGCCTTAAGAAAAAAATAGTAGTATGATGCTAGCAGCGGTACAGTACTGTAACGCCAACAACAGAAAAATCGAATAAAAGATGATCTCTTATTTACCCGACCGACATGCATGTCGGCAGCTACACATCGTGATCCACCGACAGCTTCTCCGAGAGCTCGCCTTTCTTGTCGCCCGATCGGCTACGCGGGAAAATGACAACAAGAATCACTTGCACCAGGCACAGTAAACCGCTGATGGCGTTCGGCACGAGCACGTAGTAGTCCGTCTGCATGATGCCGTAAGCGCTCCAGAGCGCACCGTTGGCAAAACCCGACACCGCCATAGGTGCCGCAATGATCTCGCAGCTCTTGGTCTTGATAACGTCGCCCATCAGGACGAGCGGCGAACCGAACATGATGATGGCCATGACGTCGGCAAAGTACCCCAGTACCTTCGCGATCGTGTCGTCGTCTTGCGTCCCCAGAAAGCGATAGAGTAGCAGAGCGATGACCAGTGCGAATACACCGCCGAAGAAGATGGAGTATCGCAGTCGACGCTCCTTCTCGTGCAGGATGAAGATGGCCGAGAAGAGAACGCCAAGCACAGCACCCAGGCAATTGACCGCTCCCACCGGAAAGAACGAGTGATCCGCGAGCGAGTAAATCACCCAGCCCATACTCTGGCCGAACATCATCGCGAGCGGGTAGAAGTTGACGCCTGCCGTACTTCGTTTCTTGTGCACCGTGTACATGCCGGGGATCATGCTGAAGAAAATGCACGCCGTCGCGATGGTGGCGAGGACGTTGATCGTCGTCTCAGCGGTATCGGAGGCCATCTTGGGTGTATGTAGCAGTGCGTGGCGGTGCAAATTGAAGAGTGTGGTGATCCGTACGGGATCTCGGTCGTGGAGTTGTTGGCGTGCCACCGCATGATGTGTGGTTTGAAGATGGAAGGAGCTGATGCATTCGAATTGGACTTCAACCACTGTCAGATGTGGACACATGCGTTATGATAGATACTGTCGTAATGATGAGTGTTTCTGGTGCGCTAAATTAGCGGCTAAGGACAAACGAGATGCCTGTTTCGGTTTTCCGTCAATTTTAATCACCCACCCATGACTTCATCTCCTTGTTAATACTGCAGTCAGGACCAGGAAGGGGAGGCAGAGTGAGGTTGGCGAGGTGTTATTGGTATCCCCGATGGCACGTGGTAAAGTTGCAGTCTAAATATGTTGCGTGTGGCTCCTGTCAGAATTACTAAACCTCAAGCTTGTGCATCCTCAAAGTATGGTAGAGTAGCCATACTTTGTATCACTCAAGGTCTCTGTTAACCCTTTTTTAACAGGCGCGGCCCCTAAGGGCTTGGTCGGGGAATGATCGTCTCAGTCTCGCTCGTCTCCGGTAAGCCTACCCCTAAGGTTAACCGACCCGATGTGGTCGGTTGGCTAGAGACCGTCTTAGTTTTGGTGTGTCAAGCTGCTCGACTCAGCACCATCACACTCGAGAACTCGCAGCCATGGAAGGCACCCTTACTGCTCCACCTGTGGGCGGCGCTGAAGACGCTGCTGAGAGAAGCGTAAGCGGCACGGACACCAACGGGAGCGGCGTCGAGAGGGCACCCCCGCAGGGTGGAGGCCGTGGTGGTCGCGGGGCAGGTCGCGGTGGTCGTGGAGGACGAGGAGCTTCGACCAGGCCAGCTGCATAATGGAGCGATGATGATGTGAGCGAGTTCTTTCGCCTCCGTTACGCAGAGTTAGCTGATAACTTCAAGAACACGAAGGACACCAAGCGCATCAAATATGCGTGGGCCGTCTTAGCACCAACACTCTCTGTTAACAAGAGCAAAGTGTTCACTGAGCAGCAGTGTCAACCTGAGATTCTGTCGAAACCACTCGTCGTAGACCGCGTCGTAAAGCATAGCCTCAAACTCTAGCGGTGTCAGGGTAAGGATGTTCTGCTTCGGGTTCGAAGTTGCCCACACAGCGGTGTGGACCGCCGTCGCGAGAGCCCCCGTGGTCGCAGCAACTGCAGCAACGATGCTTTCGCTCTGCACCATCGAAACGCAGTGAAGACGCTCGTCTCCAAAGTGAGACTGGTGATTTAGTCGTCTCAGATTGGTCAGTCTGGAGACGATGAACCTAGCCGATCGAGCTAATAACTGGCCAATCAAAAATAAGAAAAAATGTCGCCACATTGTCTAAGACGATCGAAAGCCGAGACGAGCGTTCCCCGACCAGGCCCTAACGGTGTACATCATTACCGAGCAACCGATAAATTCGTTTTGGCCTGTACTGATCGGATTAGAGCCATACTTTGGTACATGATAAACCAATACCAAAAAAAAGTTATTGGAGCGCTTCAGCGCGGAAGCCCCACTGCTTCACCAGCATTTACGCTCTACTGCATGATGCCATACTTACATGTAGTCACCGCTTTCACTGCATGATTTCTCAACGCAAAAGGTCATGCTGAAAAATTACCTGCACAATAGATTATCTCGTGGATAACTCCGCGCGCAAATCTTTGGAGAGGGATGTCTGCGCAGCGAGGTTCCAAGGGGAGAATCTAGGGAGCGCCCATTACGGAGCGCCCGTGTGCAGAGCACGAACCTACAGCTGTAGCCATGACATACGATATTGACAGCGGAGTTGAAGCAGCGAATCTTACAGACGTATCTTACCCTTGCTCGCGTCATTATGTGTCGTTCGACCATGATGATACGTGGCAATATCGAGTGGCGTTTGCCATCGATATCATGGGAACTCTAAGAAGGACTTGATGTATTTTATTAGTGGTGGATCAAATCTTACCACACGTCCGATCTATCTTCAGTTCACGGAGGAGAAGCGAAGAAGAAACCGTTGGGCCCACAGTAAAAATAAATGCCGCGGCATTCCTAAATAACTAGTAACCACCCACCGCCAAGCGGCCGCCAAAGACCACTTTCCAAACACTCGCGCATTGCAAAGGCCCCATCTATCAATTCTACGTCGGCGTCCGGATGGCACACCCATCGCTAGACAAAGAGTACACCTCCGCCGCTTGTGTATCCGTCGGAACAAGATGCGGAAGCAGCTATGCACGAGTGGATGAAGCGTCACAAGATAAACGTCTCTCGAAAGCGGGTCAAGAAAAACGAAGCGGGGGAAATTGTTGAGCGTGGATTCGCTTGTGATCGAGCTGGACGACCGAAGAACACACGCAACCTCACGGGGGCCGATCGGGTGCGCAAGATGTGTCGGTCCAAATCCATCAACTGCAAGATGCGCATTAGGATTGTCGCTGTCGACCCGGGTCAGCCTTCCGGCTCATGGCGAATCGCGTACACACGTGACGGTAGCCACACGCACAACCACCCACCCTCGTTCGACGTCCGAGTCCACGTCGCACATCGCCAGCGAGACGCTCGGCGTACGACTCAAGTCGAGCTGACCCAGACGGATCTCGTGAGCGTTCAGTCGGAAGCTGGCGTGTCCACATCTCGAATATACGCCACCATGTTGGCAAGGGATGAAGACACGCTGGTTATTCCAAAGGATATCACCAACGCCAAAGGCAAGGCTCGCTCGGAGATTTTGGCTTCGAGTACCACAGTGAAGGCTCTATTTGAATTGCTCGAGGCCATGAATTTCCACTACAGCTACGAGGTGGACTCTGCCAACCGCCTACAGTACTTATTGTGGGCTCCCCTGGAAACTACCAACTTGGCGCGCTACTTCATGGGCATACTTGTCATTGTCTGCACCTACAAGACAAAGAAGTACCGCATGCCCCTATTCAACGCCATCATAGTCACGGGGATGAACACGGTACTCCCGCTGGCGCAGATTTGGATCCCTGGCGAAACTGAACCAGACTACACGTGGGCGTTATCAAAGCTGCGAGACTTACTGGTTGCCAACTCGATTCCGATGCCCCGCGTGATCCTGACGGACCGCGAGCTGGCTTGCACAAACGCAACGGAGACTGTGTTTCCCATGTCGGCAAAACTTCTGTGCCAGTGGCATATCAACCGTAATGTACTCGCGCAGGCGCAGAAGAAAATTCGACGTGCAGAACTCGGTGGTCATCGGCAAGAAGAAGAAGAAGAGCTTTGCCACCGGTATATTCATGGCTAAGTTCTACGAAACGGTCGCGTCAGAGATGGAGGAGGAGTTCAACACAAGGAGTGCTGGACTTCGTGATCTGTCGAGCAGTATGGGGAAATATCTCGACAAGGAGTGGTGGCCGTACAAGGAAAAAACTGTGAAGTGCTGGACTAACCGCTTCAGTCATTTTGGTACCCTGAGTACGTCAACGGTCGAAGGCACTCATGCCTCTATGAAGCGCTGGCTGGATAATTCAAGGGGGATCTGCTTAAAGTGTTCATGCAGCTTCTACCATGGTGGATCGGAGCTGCTCGTCGCATCAGCTTCCAAACGGCCAATGACACGAATGTTATCCCTATTCTATTCAGAGGCGACGATCGCTTCTCAGCTGTGGTGCAGATCATCAGCGTATGGGCGCTGACCCAGACAACCGAGCTGTGGAACAAAGCGCGCAAAATCGTTGTCCATGGACTGGAGCGCAGCACCTGCGATGGATCGTTTCGTAGGGTTCATGGCAGGCCTTGTATCCACGAGCTGATGGCAATTATTGATTCGGATGGCTGGGTCAAGCTGACACCTGACCCCTTTGATAAGCACTGGTGGCTTCCCGAGGTGCTTAGCGAGAGGAGCGAGAGGGTCCTAGAACGCGCCACCCTTCCGAAGATAGGTCATTCCTTGAGGCCCCGGCTTCACCAAGCCGGACATGGTGAGCACAGTACGCGGAGGGAGCCGTCCCGTTTTGAAATCGATGCCCGGCCACTCAATGCACTGGGCGCACAAGAACGAAGTTCAACCCCTTTTCAAGCTCTCCTAAACGACGAGGAGTTTGAGCTCCTTTCAATCCAAGATCTCCTGCTACCTGACCGAAATGAGGAATTCCAGCGGATTTCGATCCCACCACGTTCGTGGGCATACGCAGGCCTTCGTTCTCTGAATTAGTAGACGGGAATTCCGGGCCGGTTGCTCTACATTAGTCGATATTTGCATTAAGCTTCAATAATGATATTTTCCATTCATGCACTTCCTGTAATGGGCCTACTTTGGCTCACTACTACGGCTTACACGTATGCGCACGTGTATGAGGAAGCGTAGGTTTCTTTTACTTGAGTTAAGTATACTCGAGATCCACGAGTATACTTTAAACAAGATAAAGACTCCAAGTAGCGTGTTTTGGTAAAAGATGAGAACTGCTATATGTGTTTTATGTTTCTGACTTCCTCTAAATGTAATATTCTAAACTAGGAATCTGCCAACGGCTGGTTGGCAGGATTCTGCTAACATGCAAGTCACTCATTGGCTAAAAGATGCTGCTTTCAGCCAATAGAAATCCTAAATGTGTATGGACCACCCGTCGTGGTGGTCATAAATGTATGTAGCCATTGGTGTGCCTTACACCAAGGTCGAGGAAGTGTTCGAACCTCTAACAGACATCGCATCTGTTAGAGTAACAAGTGACTGTTGCCACTTGTGCGTGTAACCCCGTTACACCATCCCCCCGTCAAGGTTAGACGTGCCGGTCCCGGCACGTCAACCACCATTGACCGCTTGGTCAATGCGTGACGTTGAAGAGAGCGCGCTCGTAATGAAACGAGCGCGTCGAAGTTGAAGACCGCTGGCGCAGCAGCGAGAACCTCTCTGCTGCTGAGTAGCATGTGCGGCAACGTGCGAAGTGCGTCGCTGCCGCGGGGGCAGGTACCTATATCTGCCCTCAAAGTGTGCTGTTAACAGCGCTCGTATTACTTTCCAGCGTGTAGCGCATGGTGGGCTTCGTGCGC